CGTCACTGATGTTCAACCAGGAAACATCAGCCGTAGCCGTTAGCTGTTAGCACTCAAGCTCACAGCTCCTCATATCTGTTCAGAAACTAGACAGAAGTTAAACAAGTACAAACCACAGACTGTCTGTGTCATGGCGAATACAGTCGCTGGTTTATTTATGTCTGTAGGCCGTTATGAGTGTGGATTGAGCATATACAACGTTAGCTTAGCCTGGTCGACCCAATCTCCATTCAGAAAACAAGCATTTTAAAAGGTTTTTCGCCTGCCGTCTTTTCTGCAGACTTGTCAAGCATTAATTCATGGTTTTTACTAAACGGTATCAGTATGTTGTTACTTCGGCATCATTTAGAAACGTGTATTACAATTTAATCACGGTAAAATATGTTCATTTTGTTGTAGTTGTAGCTCCCGAGCCAGCGCGTCTTGTTTGAATGATGCGAGTAAACACAGCTGGCAGCAGCGGTGAAACTCGAGCGATTAGAGCGAAGTCGCGTCCGGTGTGAACGCAGCATTACAACGACCCCTGATAGATCTCGCGAGAATGTGTATAAATATAGAAACATTTTCATAACAAAACAATGGGGTTGCTATAGCAATGGTAAATCATTGTTAATAATTATTGTGAGGAATAATTAACATTAACATGTGATCAGACAGTCCTTCACATACAGTAAATTAATATGTATTCTGATTATTATTAATAATAATATTATCATTAAAGGTGAACCGTGCATTTATGTTATTCAGGAAGTTTGTATCAAACAAGTAGCCCTTCGTATTACTCAGTACCCTTGAAGTAGCCCTCGGTGACAAAAAGATTGGTGACCCCTGCTATTGACCATACCACGTTCCCTCTGACTCGGGCCCAAATCAGTTTCTTTCTTTTCATCCTTCCTGTTTTCATTAAATTCAGTCAGTTGCACTTTCTTTACTTCCTACATGTTTTCTGTCTTCATTGAGTTCCTCTCTCGCCTCTGTCTCCTCTCTCTTCATCCTTTTCTTCATTCACTGGAAAGATAAAAATACCATGCATTTTATCTAACTTTATCCTGCAAAGTGTATGTACTAGCGAATGTGGTAAAAGGAACGCAATGTTGTGATAATAACTTGGTTGCAGTCGTATTGTCATAAATCAGGTCCTATCATTTTCTCACCACTATTCCTTAACCGCTGTGAGAAACATCACAGCGTAAAGAACGATGATAGGAGAATTCATCAGATTTAGAAAAAGAAAACTGCGGTGCTTAGAGAATCTAACTGCATCAGACATCATTTTGATGCGCCAGTTAATGATGTGCATCTGCTGAGAAAACTACAATTTTCCGGACTATACCATAAGCACCTAGATTTGCTACTTTACCTCGTGTGCTCTTATGGTGTGGTTTTTTGTGGGCTTGATGAACATGAACAACAGCGAAAAATATATTCTTCATCACCAAGGTTAGAATTAAAAAAAAAGAAAGATGAAAATATTCTAAATAATTACATTTTTATGAAATATATGCATAACTTGTAAGGCCTACAAATCTATCACTGTGTACTTCCCCATTCAAACATGAAAAGAGTTAAAGAAACACCATACAACTCATCAAACACTACTGCTGGCATTATTTGATCATTTTATATTAATAAACGTAAAGTTCATATTCAACCTTTGGATTTGATATAGTGTTAAAAACATATAAGCACTTTGGCAAGTTATGGCATAAGTTGTCAAATACTTAATAAGCACCGTGACTTACACAATACGCAGATATTGGCCATGACACACACACAAACACACACACATTAT